TGAGAGACATACTGCTGAACTCTCGGGATGGTGTCAATTTAAAGTTCACCCTTTGAACGTTTTTGCTCTGATGACTAGAAAGTGATATGCACAGTGCACATAAAGCCTTAAGCCAAAGATAACTTATTCAAATAGTGATTTCAACTGACTTCTCCTTTATGCACAGTCCTTAGTTAATCCAGCCAACCATAAACACGGAAACACTATAGACACGAGTTTCGCTCACCAGTGGCGCATATTCACCCGTTCCGTCCGGATTTCGAACTCCAAAACCATCACGTAGAAGGCGAGTGGGTTACCAATGGGCCAGTCAGCTCATACCGAGGTTGAACAGAATTGTCAGTTCACTGTTGTTGCGGTGTTGTCGAGTCTAGTGCTCCCGAGTGCATGGTTGATTGGGTGAATTGAGAATTGTGCTAGAAGGTGAAGGCCGAAAAAAGTCGATTCAAATAAATGTCAGTTTTTACCACCACACTACTTATGAGTAACTGTGAGTTAAATGCGAATAATTCACATAATCCGTAAAAATGTGTTCAATCAATTCTTGAAATAACCTTATTAGGATGCAAGATGTCTTTAACTAGCAACAACTGAAAGTTAATTTTCTTTTTTGTTGAAAATAATAAGTTCATTTTGCATAGATAAATGTTAGATTTATTTAAAAAAATACCTGTCATTTTAAAACACTATTTTTGGCAATTATTGTCAACCATAATTTTCCATTTAATCATTACAATGAATACCTGAAGAGGAAACCTTGGGAATTAGGACACCAACATTAACTTCAAGGAGAATAAATCGCTCTGTGTTATATGCGTGCGAATCACCCAATCAGTTTTATACAGCGTGGGATTGCAGCTGTATCACCGGGGTGGGAGATTCATTTCTCAAAGTTCAGTGATACTGTGCCAATGTAGATGAGGTTGTGCAGCCGGAGGTGTATTTCTAAACCCCGGGAAATTCTGAGATCATAGATCAGGTGTTTCCTGAAGGGGGTGTAGGTTACGATAGATGTGCATTTTCAAACGAATTCAGACCGTCTCAGAGAATATGACACACGATGCTCCTAAGATCGCACTTGCAATTTACCTGGAACCACATGGAATCAACCGACGTGGATGGTGTCTTCTATGTGGAGATCGAAGTTGTACGCTCCACCTTTTATACATCACATATCACGGGGTAATAATTTTCGAATGTCAGTATCGATGTTCAACCTATATTCTGGTTGTTTGTTCGTGGTTTTTGTTCAATGATTCAAATAGCATATGAGGATTTGGACTTCATTCGGAAGACTAGTGATTAAATCTTAGATTTAAAAACCAATTTTCTTTGTATTCGACTCCTTGGTGTCCAATCGTGTGATAAAGAAAACACTCTGGATGGTCGGTGAATTGGTGGAGTTTATTTTAAAAAAGCGATTTTCATTTGTTAGCTCGGTTGTTTGACAATTTAAGTCTATTATGAGTGAAATTAAGTAACGAGAACGCAGATGGCGTACATTTAAGGATACGAATATCTCGTTGGGAGAAAGGTAAAAGGGAAATCGTACATCAGGTGGTGAATGTACTCATGTTTTGCACACAAAAGCAAACTGAACACGGTTTCCACATGATTTAACTGAGAGAAAACAAACAAATCACAACACCACCAGTTAGTCTACATCAAATCAAGGTAATAAAATTAAAGTCAAGTGAAGAAATTGCTTGATTGTACCATCTGATGAACAACTCAGTTGCCAAATACCCCCATACCAATGATGACACGTATAAATACATTACGGTGTGCACCAAGCACGCAAAATACGGTCTGAGTTGTTCGAGAAGAAAGCGGCATAATGAACTATGGAAGAGTAGTACACTTTTCTATGTGTATCTGAATGTGTTTATACACAGAGCGGAGGAAGCGAGTGGAAGAGATTGAAATACATTCGGATAATGAGTAGTCGAATGGGTGACTGGAGTGAATCAGTTTATCATAGACTGTGTTGCGGTGTTGAGAGACTACGTGATAGATTAAATGAGTTTTTGCTAAACCAGAACACACGGGCAAATGTCTGAATGACCTAGATATCATATATAAGTTTTGTTTTGTAATAAACCAGGAGAAATCACTAGGGAAGAATAGAGTCAGTGAGATAAGGTGCGGGTATGTGAAAACTGTTTTATCAAATGGGAGAAAATGGATAATCGCCTTAGGCGCAGGACAAAAACAAAAACCTTCTGACTTTTGTAAACATATGGTTGACATTTTCGGACAGGAAAAAAGAGAATGGTGATGAACAACACCCAAATATTTTACTGAAGTTCCCTGACTGACGAGTGTATCGTGGATGAATAGCGGCTGGCACATTTCAAGAGAGAATACAAAACATTAGCATAGTTCAAGTGGTTCAAGTAGAGAAGTTATATGCAGAGCGCCACTCTCGTTCAGTAGTACTGACGTATCATGATAAATAATGGGGAAAACAGATTTGTTGAGATAGGGTTAGCCAAAGATAAAGTGATCAGCGTATTTTATCAGCAAACAGTCTTTGCAAACAGGCATGGAGGCTAAGTTAAGTGGACAAAAAGGTCGAAGACAAAAAGCTCCTTGAAGATCCCCTGAGTCCAAAGCTACGGTTGAGGGGACCTTTTCATTGTAGCCTTGTTAACTGTTTTCAAAAGGGAGAGTAGTATTTCTTTAGAAGGGCAATCGTAGGCGTAGGGACTCCATGGTTTACCAGAGGCTGAATTCTACCAACACTTCGAAATGCGTCAGTGTAGTCCAGATGCACATTCTTACAGCTTTGCATTTCCAATTCACCTATTTGCCGAGCAGTTGGTAATTTGTTTGCAAACGTTTGATCATCAGTCCAGGTGACATCCTCAATACTTGTGAACTGGCTATTTCATAATGTAATTCCACACACCCGAACTGTCGTTTCGTACTTGTTATCGAGTGATAACAATAAAATGCCCTAGAGAGGCTAGAGCATCAATGGTAGATCATATACGACACACAGTCAGGTTCAAAATTGGGAGCAACTTGTGTAAAATTATTCTATCGCATACCTTCACGGTGGTTGACTATAGGCTATGCGACGAAATTTAGTAAAATCTTTCTTGGGAACGGGTGTGTGTCACTATAAAAACCGCCAGTAAGTATTCTAATGAGAAAACAACGTAAACGAAAGCTTGTTTCGAGCGAGATAATCGATTGTTTTAAATACACCGCGCAGAGAATTCGATTCAATTCCATATCGCGTTAGGTCGATGTCTCCCCACCTCAGGCATCACAGTTTCTGCTAGGTTGATCATTTACGTGCAGATGATTTTGTGCAACAACCCATTTGTTGGGCTTTTCTGGCATGAGTAGTGTTGCATGCAATGGTTCTATAGGGCACGTATCATGTAAATTTCCCAATGTCAAATGAGTGGTGGTTCTGTTGTTCTTGTTGTTGTGTTTGTTGGTGGTGGCAGTGGTGG